GCTCCGCCACCTCCCCCCGCCCTGCGCGCTATGGTTCGGGCCGCCTATAAAAGGCTCCGCGGCCCTGGGCGCACTCGGCGCAGAGAACGTGAGTCCTTGTGTCTGGCTGTCCGTGCGTCCGGCTCTTGCCCTCGCAGGTATGCAAACCCGGAGTGCACCGGGTTACAAGGGAGGCCCCTGGGGGCAGTTCCAGCCCTTTCCAGGCCTCCCCGCTGGTCACCTTTGTTCCCCATCCGCGGCAGTGGCCCCCCTTTGTCCTTGCAAGGGAAACCGAGGCCAGAGCTTTGGAATCCAGGCCGATGGCTGAGATCCCCACCCCCTGCTCCTGGGGGAGGCTCGCTGTCTCTTTGGGGACTGGAAACTTCCCATCGCGCTCGGGTCGCCTCTCTAATGGGGGGACCTGGCGGCGAGTGGCCGAGTCCCTCGTGCGTGCGCTGGTCAGGGGGGCGGGTCTCTGCGAGCCTCCGGGTCGTGCGCTCTGGCCCCGGGGACACTGAGAGCTCGGGCTGCAGCCTCCCCGGTGCTGACTCAGTCCGGGCCCAGCACGCAGCGTGACCTTGGGAAAGGAGGAGGACAAAGGGTCCTCCCGGGCGCACTGACCAGGCGGGGGGCGGGGTGGGCTCAGCTTTCAGCCATGGCCTCCGGCAACGCGCACATCGGAAAGCCCGCCCCGGACTTCAAGGCCACCGCGGTGGTGGACGGAGCCTTCAAGGAGGTGAAACTCTCCGACTACCGAGGTGAGGGGGCTCCGGAGGGGGTCCAGGGGGGTTGGGGGGGGGCGGGATCCACGCCTCGCCGAGGCTGGGCCTTCACTCCCAGGGTCCTCCTCGCTCCGCAGGGAAGTACGTGGTGCTCTTTTTCTACCCCCTGGACTTCACGTTCGTGTGCCCCACGGAGATCATCGCCTTCAGCGAGCACGCGGAGGACTTCCGCAAGCACGGCTGTGAGGTGCTGGGGGTCTCCGTGGACTCGCAGTTCACCCACCTGGCGTGGTAGGAGCAGGGCCCGGGGAGGGAGGGCGGGCGGGTGCGCGCACGCAGCTGAACCCGCATCCCCATCGGGTCCGATCCGTGTGGCCATTGCCCCATTCCCAGCCTCCCATTCCCCCTCTGGACTGTAATGGAAATCCTGACGCCCAAGTCCTTCAAGGATGGTGAGGGTAATTAGCATTTTGCAACTCCACTCACGGTAGCATTGCAGATGGGTTATCTGCCCGAGTTCTCAGGAGGCGCCCTATTTCATGAAGGTGGAGGCCTCGGCTCACATAAATGATGGGCTGGGCCCCGGAAACAGACCCGGAGGAGGGTGGGGACTGGAACACGCGTGATGCTGGGGGGCTGCGTGATGCAGAGGGCTGCAAATCTGCAGACAGGCTTTAGCAGGGTCTTCTCAGCTGCAAGGTTCCTGCCCCTCTGCATCCACCCCAGGGTGCCTCAGGGTGCTCCAGGGTGCGGTGGGTGGAGCTCCCCGCTTTTTATCCTAAAACCCCTTATCAGTTCCCTCCAGCTCCCCCACTGCAGCCCTTATCACACCCAGACCCACAGCGGGAGGACCCTACACTGCCAGGCACCCTGAAGCCCCATCTTGTCTCTCCCACCCCAGGATCAACACCCCCCGGAAAGAAGGAGGCTTGGGTCCTCTCAACATCCCCCTGCTGGCCGATGTGACCCGAAGCTTGTCCCACGATTATGGCGTGCTAAAAGCAGATGAGGGCATTGCCTACAGGTACCATGGAGCCCTTAGCACAGAGACCCTGTCCCGTGGCAGGATGGGACCACCCTTAAGTAATACCCTTCTTTTTCTTTCTTTTTTTTAATTCAATTTTATGTATTTATTATTATTATTTATACATCTGATTGCTATACATCATTTAGGTTGTAAAGAGACTTTACCCAGCATGACTTACACCTCAATCCAGCCCAGTTGAAAATATGATACACATCCTCATTAACAGATAATTAATCATGTCTGTGTCCCCAAAATGTCTTACCTTTCTATTTTTTTCTCCAGATTATCTTTCCCCTCCCAGACACTTTCTACTTTGTCTCTAGGGTCCATAACAATTTTTAATGCTTTCATGTCTTCCGGTCTTTCAGTGTCTACCATAGAGTACAGACAGTCCGGGAATGTTTAGTGGAGACATACAATGTCTCTCTTTCATAGCCTGACTCACTTCACTCAGCAACAAATCTTTCATATTCATCTACTTTGTATCACATTCCAGGGCCACCGTTGTGTTTTACGGCTGAGTAATATTCCATGGAGTCTATGTGCCACATTTTTTCAATCCATTCATCTCTTTGTGGACATTTGGGTTGGTTCCATGTCTTAGCAATCATGAATAAGACTGCAATGAATATAGATGTGCAAGCGCTTTTCCGACTGTGATTTCTCCTGTCCTGTGGGTAGATACCCAGGAGTGGAATTCCCGGATTGTATGGTAGTTTTATTTGAAGGTCTTTGAGGAACCTCCATATTGTTCTCCACCATGGCTGGACCAATTTACATTCCTAACAACAATGTAGGAGAGTTCCCCTTTCAGCACATCCCTTCAAGCACTTAATCAGTTTTTGTTTTTTTTTTTATCTTCACCTTTGTGACTGGGGTTAGGTGGTATTTTTTTCTTTTTTAAAAAAAGAATTATTTTAGGGACCAGCAGGTAGTATGGTGGTTAAGGGGCTGGACACATGTTTGACCATGGTTCGAGTCCCAGACCTGGTGGTTTGTTTTCTCACTTTCCCTCTCTTTCTGTCTCTCTCTGGTCAAATTAAAAGGATAAGTAAATAAAATTAAATTACTCTTTTAAAAAATTATTTTATTGAGCTTTATTTTATTATTTATTTATTTTAACTTGATCAGAGAGGGACAGAGAGAGGGCAAACTACCTAGTCTGGAACTCAAACCACGGTCAGCCATGTGGGAATCCAGTGCTCTTAACCACCAGGCCACCTGCCAGCCCCAAGTGACACCCTTCTTGCATTCAGCACTGTGGCTGGCAGTGGGGGATGTTCCTGGCCCTGTCCCTTGCAGGGGCAGCTCCCTACTCCTCACTGTGAACCCCGATGGCTTTTTTTTTTTTAGATTTTTGCTACAGGGCGTGTGCGCTCACAGACAGACAGAGACAGAGAAACAGAAAGAGAGAAATCACCCCCCAGGGGAGATGGCCACACCGCAATCCCTTCTCCTCCATTCTCCTCTCAGGATCTTGGGCATGCACGCACATGCGCCCGATGTGAGTTTTAAGCCACTGGGTCCAGGACTCGAACCGCGGTCGACTACGAGGGAGTCCAGTGACATTGCCATTACACTAATTGCTGGTCCCCCCCCCATGTCTTCAGGGGCCTCTTCATCATCGACGGCAAGGGGATCCTGCGCCAGATCACTGTCAATGACTTGCCTGTGGGGCGCTCCGTGGACGAGGCTTTGCGGCTGGTCCAGGCCTTCCAGTACACGGATGAGCACGGGGAAGGTGAGTGGCATGCTCACGCGTGTTCACATGTAGACATGCACTCAGCCCCTCTGTCTCCCACGGAGGCGCTCTCTCCCTGCCTGACCACCGGGTGCAGGATGGCAGTTAGGGCCTCAGAGAAGATCCAGCTCAGGGCTTTTTCTGCAGGAAACTTCTAGTCTCCCCCAATACAAGGTGGGGAGCTGGGAGGTAATTCGCGTGATCTTTGAAAAGTCCTCTGAAGGGACCAGCAGGTGGCAGAGTGGTTACATCCATGGACTCCCGTGTCATCAACTGTGGTTGGAGTCCTGGACCTGGTGACTTAAAATTCACGCTGGACACATGTACATGCGTGCCCAAAATCCCAAGAGGAGATTGCAGGAGAAGGGATTGCAGTGTGGTCATCTCCCTTGGGGGGTGATTTCTTGTTTTCTGTCTCTCTGGTAAGCGCGTGTGCCCTATAGCAAAAAATCTCTCTAAAAAGAAAAGAAAAAAAAAATTCCAAAGAAATCGCATATTATGAAAAATCCATGCATACGGGCTAGCCCACAGTACAACAGTTAAGTGCTGTATGTAGAAAGACAGATCACACAAGGCCGACCAGGGTTCGAATCTCAACCCTGGCAGCTTGAAAAAGCTCCAGGAGTATGTGCATGTGTGCCCCAGAGCCTGACAGGATGGAGGGAAAAGGGTGTCCGTGTGACTATGGCCACTGGGCTGTTCCCTCTCTCTGGTGAGTACATGCACCCTCTACAGTTGAGAAATACAGGGAGGAGGGAACCAGCAGTTAGCGTAATGGCTATGTCGCTGGACTCCCACGTAGTCGACCGCGGTTTGCATCCCGGACCCGGTGGCTTAAAACTCATGCTGGGCGCGTGTGCGTGCATGCCCAAGATCCCCAGAGGAGAATGGAGGAGAAGGGATTGCGGCATGGCCATCCCCCTGGGGGGGTGATTTCTCGCTTTCTGTCTCTCTGTCTCTCTGTGTCTTTCTGGCGAGCGCACGCACCCTATAGCAGAAACCTCTAAAAAAAAAAAAAAGAAAAGAAAATTTTAAAAAAGTTTAGCCATGGATTTACATTGTTTTGCACCAAAATTTATCATTTAATTCCAGCTTCTTAGTTTTTGCTATAGGGATCATGTGCTCACCAGAGGCGGGGAGTGAGAAATCGCTCCCTGGGGGTATGGCCCTCCTACAATTCCTTGTCCACTTTCCTCAGTCAGGACTTGGGGCGTGGACACACAGGCACCGAGCATGGTTTTCTTTGTTTTATTTTTTTTAAGAATTATTTTATTTAACTTTATTGTTATTATCATTATTTTCCAGTTTGATCAGAGAGAGAGAGAGAGAGGAACCTCTCTGCCATTTCGAGGGCTTCTTTTAAAAGAACTCCTTATTTTTTAAAAATCACTTACTCTTGGGAACCAGCAGTTAGCGTAATGATTATGTCGCTGGACTCCCACGTAGTCGACCGCGGTTCAAGTCCCAGACCCGGTGGCTTCAACTCACGCCGGGTGCATGTGCGTGCGTGCCCAAGATCCCGAGAGGAGAATGGAGGAGAAGGGATTGCGGCACAGGAATCCCCCCTGGGGAGGTGATTTCTCGCTTTCTGTCTCTATGTCTCTGTCTGGCG